CCCCCCCCCCCCCCCCCAAAAAAAGAAAATTCTTACTGCTTTCAAAGACACACAATGTTTCTAATTTTCAGAAATTTAACCTGCCTTTTTCTCCTTCCCTTCTAACATTTACTGTTCATGGTGAATGTTAAAGAACCAGTCATTTTATCTTATGAGCTTGGTCGCAATTTCACAGCTGGAGGCACCACTAAGCTCCCTAGCCAAGAGTCTGACGAGTGCATATTAACCCAGCTTGCCAAATCTCCCCTTTTGAAACGTAAAGGTCACACGTGTATGATAGAGACACGATGCTCTATTCAGCCTCTGTTAACCAATAATCGCTGCAGCTGACCACAATTCTCAGAAGAATGTGAAATGAGTTTGCTTCTCTCATTCTCTAAATGCAAAAGCCCAGCAGACTCAATCTGCCTCTGTGGCTGTTCATTAAACCAGAAGAGCTCTAATAGAGCAAGAGCAATCAGCCATGACTCTCTGTCATTCAGCTCTCAATACCCCACATCTGCCACATCTGCTTCAGACACACACACGCTTGCACACACACTGTGTGATTGAGTGTTGATATTCACCCATGTCTCATTCCAGATTGAAGGAACATCCAAAAAGTCCTTGAAACTTTCAAAATCTGAATATAATTTGGGGAGGCTTTGTGGCTCACTGCAGCTCGTTTGTCATTAAAAGCCTTCAGGGAAAACATATTTCTGCCTAAGCTGTAATTGTTGCAGCATTTTTCTGTGTTGAAGGAATAAATCATTTAACAATGAAAAGACATTTAAAAAAATGTTTCAGTTTTTTAGTGCATGCAATAAGAGTCAGTGGGTTCAATAAGTCAGTAAGTTCCTATTCAGTGTTATTTTAGTATTATTATCATACTATTATAGTATTTATTATTGTTTTGAATTAGCTTTTATTTTTATATTTTCAGTCTTCATATTAAAGTTAGTTTAAGTTTTTAATTTTAGTTCTAATTTTGTCATGTGCTTTATCATTTTTATTATTTGTTTGTTTTTATACTTCTATATTGCTTATATAAGCTTTGTGGGGAAGTAATGGCCTAATGGTTAGAGAGTCAGACTCGTAACCCAAAGGTTGCGGGTTCAAGTCTCGTACCGGCAGGGATTGTTGGTGGAGGGAGTGAATGTACAGCTCTCTCTCCCATCTTCAATACCACGACTGAGGTGCCTTGAGCAAGGCACTGAACCCCCAACTGCTCCCTGGGCGCCGCAGCAAAAAATGGCTGCCCACTGCTCCGGGTGTGTGTTCACAAGGTGTGTGTGTGCGCACTTTGGATGGGATAAATGCAGAGCACTAATTCCGAGTATGGGTCACCATACTTGGCCACATGTCTCGTCACTTATTTGTACAATTATTACAATTAATATAATTATAACAAGGCAATGTTTCATTTTTATTTACATTTTATTTTATTTCAATTACAGAAAAATAATTTTAGTTAGAACTAAACAAAATTTTATTTATAAAATTAGTTAGAATCATCTAGTTAATGATAACAAAACTGGCTCAATGTTGTTTTGAACATTACTGACTTTTATTGTATGGACAAAAGCAGAAGAAACATTCTTTAAAATATATTTTTGTTCCGCACAATAAAGAAAGTCATACAGATGAATCATGACAGAATTAAAATTTTTGGGTGAACCATTTATAACCAATGGAGCAATCTAAATGTGTGGATCTTACAGAGTTTAAACGGGAGCATACCGTGTTTTTCCATTGCGGAAACTGACACACATGCAGAGCAGGATGCAGAGCAGACCAAGACACACTCCAACTATGATACCAGTCACAGCATGGATATCCAGCTCTGTAGGAGAGTGATAAAGAGAGAGAGAGAAGGAGGCAGGAGGAAAAGACAGATAAAGAAAGACAGCAGAGTGGAAATAGCAAAAGAGAGAGAGAGAGAGAGAGAGAATGCAGAACAGAATTGTAAAAATCAGTCAGCGAGTAATTATACATAATTAAACTTCATAGTAATTCAATACAACTGAATCATGCTTAAGCATAACAATGTGTTATATTAATTATAAGTCATTATACGACTGGTGTATGTAAGTCTGTGTGATTTTTTGTGGCCAACTCCCCACAGACGGTGTGTTTGTCTGAGGCTGGACTGAATCACTTCACACTTCCTGTGGGAGTGCTATTAATTGAGTGTCAGTGATGGGCAGAGGCAGATGGCAGTCTCTACACACACACACACACACCTGTGACGCCTCATGCCGATTCAGAGAAACTTAACTGGCATTATAAACAAGGGTTTTCTTTGCCAAAGCAATAGAAAATATTAAATACACATGAAGATATATACAAGCATAAATCAGTGAAATTTGCAGGTTCATGTTTGTAAGCTATAAGCTTCCATTTTCTGATAGCAAATGTTCACATATAAGCCAAATTTTCTGTAGCTCAAAGAGTATTGCAAGGCCATGGGTTTGATTCAGTTGATTGTATACCTTGAATACGATGTATATCTCTTTGGATAAAAGCATCTACCAAAGGCACAAGTGCAAACGTAACAGAAATTTATAAATGTATTACATAAATGTAAAGATTCTGAGGTTTCAATTAGTAGCTATGGGAGATTGATTCTTTTATATTTAAAGTGAAATCAAGTTTACTTAAAAACAAATTATCACTGTAAAAACAGTAAAAAAATTTTTTTATGTTTTTGAAAGGAGTCTCTTATGCTCACAAGGATGAATTTATTTGCTCAAAAATACAGTAAAAACAGTAATATTGTGAAATAGTATGAAACATTAAAATAAAGATATTTTGATAAAAGGAAAATAATAAGGAATGCCATATATTTGAAACAGAAATCTTTTAACATCATACATTTCTTTATTATTACTTTTGATCAATTTAATGCTGAATAAAACTTAACAATGCTTAATTTCGTTTCTTTTTTTTCTTTCAGACCCCAATCTTTTGAACAATAGCGTATCTATTTACATCACAGGTAAAAAGTCACCTGGTAATTAAAAACAAAAAAACTGCAGGGTGATATTGGCGTACTGCTCTGAAAAGTGCAAATCATAAAATGCTTTATCGGATCTATAAATTAAATAAATTAATTAAACTAGCCAAAGCAATACTGCAAAGTACCAAGTAAATGGTGACCACAGAAACATAATATAAACCTTGTACACACACCCTTAAAAAAACCATACACTCAACAAATAGTGTGAAAACCTTTACATACACATACACACCATATTTCTTTGGAGGAGTATAGACATCCTTCACAGGTGAATATGGTCCCACCCCAACTTCAGTGCAAGCCCCCATCTTAAAATAATAACGTGTCCCACTCATCAGGCCTTGGGCCTCTGCACTGGTAACAGAACCTAAGGAAAGAGAGTGAGACAAAGAGAGATTTATCAGAGACATTATAAATTCTCATATGAAGTACAGCACCATTGTTGTTTGTGTATGTGTTTGTAGATTTACCATCATGTGTAAGGTTTATCCACAGGTGATCTGGATGGCTCATGTTGCCAGTGTAGAGGATCCAGTAGGTCAAAATGACACCATTTGGCTCCAGTGGAGGGCGCCAGCTCACCAGAACAGAGTATGAGTCCAGCACACTCAACTGCATGTCCAGAGGAGGAGAGGAGGGTCCTGTCATAAAAACACACGTTTATACCCGACACACAAGACACCAAAAAAGATAAGAGAAGCATAATAATTAAGAACGTTTTAGCTCTGAATCATTTGAATTAAACACAATTAAAAAAAAACTCCTTTACCCATTATTTCAGACTATTCATACTTAAAGGGGACATCGGATGCCAATTTCCCACAAGTTGGTGTGATTCTTTAGGTTTTTCATGAAATGCCTGCCAAATTCCTCAATGGTCGTGTAAAACAACACCCTTTTTACCTTGTCAAAAACAGCTCTGTTCACAGCGACCCGTTTCGGTGCATGTCTCTTTAAATGATAATGAGCAGTCGTGGGTGGGGCCTGAGCAGTATGATGTCATACTGCTTTGAAAATCAAAATGGCTTGATAATTGAGACTCTTTAGGTTTTATGAGGATTTAAAAAAAAAAAAAAAAGGAGTCATTGTAGGGTGGTTGTGTCCACACACTGCTAAGACACATTTACAAACACCATGTAAATGTGAATTTTGCATCCGATGTCCCCTTTAAAGTACTGTGGCATTCACAGTGGTCTTTACATGGTACGTCACGGTACAGTACTTTCAGAAATGCCATGGGACTACTTTGCTGTAAGTGTACTCTGAATGCACTAATATAATTGATTTTTATTGCTTTAAAAATTGCAAAGGGATTTATAGGATCAATAAATTAAATAAATAAACTAGCTGACACACTGGTACAACACTGCTTATTGATATCTGCTGCAAAGTACCAAAACAAAATAGTGACCACAGAAATGTAATAAATAAACCTTGAAAAACAAAACTTGAAGGTACACAACTTTTTAAAAAATCATACGCTCAACAAATAGTGAAAACTATTTACACTAAATATAACACTATAACACTAAAATGTTTTCAACAAATAACTTAAATTTCAGTCTGTTTCGGTCTGCATGGCTTCTAGAAACATGCACACAATGTCACATAGACTATTTTAATGCCAATTTTTGATCATTTTAGAAGGTTGACAGTAAAAATCACTATCCACTTTTATTGTATGGAAAGGAGCAGCTTGAACATTCTGCTAAACTCCTCATTTTGTGTTTCATGCTAAACTTGATTTTGAAAGCAATGCTTTGAGTGAATGATCCCCATTGTATGCCTAATATATTGTATTTTTGTGTGCTAATGCAACACAAATATCACAAACACACAAAAAAAGCAGTTTTCCTTTTGTAGAAAAAAAGTGTACGCCAAAAAAAGCACATTTAAAGGTTTGTAATGCTATAATGGTCTCAGCATGTGCGGTCTGGGAGATACAACGAGTATAATATCAGGTTTTTTTTAGAAGACCCCCCCCCAAAAGTAGATAAAGCTCCTCTCAGTTAGTCTGACACTAAATCTCTGTGGCAACATGCCCCTCCCCGCCATCACTTGGCTAGACTGACTGACAAGCTGAAAGACTCTTGGCCAACAAGAGGGGCAATTCCATCTGGGCTTTTAATTAAAGCCAATTATCTCCTTACACCTCTCCCTATTAATCCCCTAACTGTTAACCTAACACAAACACACTGACTCACACTGAGCCACACAACTCACACTCTCGCAATACACTCACATATACGTATTCATTCATCACTTCCCACTCAAAAAAACCCTAAAGACACTCACGCTTGTGTACACACTATAATTAAAGCTCTCGCTCATGCACGAACAAACACAAGACACAGTATGAACTCCCCCAAATTTACCCATGTGATTGACTCATGTGAAAAAGAGAATAAAGATCATATAACATCTTCATACTTCATATAACTTTCTTTTTCCCATATATTAGGTAGAAAGGCTCTTTTACAGCTCTGAAATGGGCTGTACTCACTGTCTGGAAGTGTGGACTCTTCCACTGTGCTGCTGAAAGGGCCACTCATATCAACTCCCTTAGACTGCACAGCAATTTCATAGCTGGTGAAGGGCTTTAGTGATTCCAGAAAAATCTCCTGAGAAGAGCTGAAATACAGTGAGGTACAGAAAAATGCAGTAAGAGGACCGGTTGACTGATAAAGGAGTCAATTAGTGCTATCTAGAGCAGCGTGGCTTAAATAAATCAGTCAAAAGTTTTGGGGAAAATGTAATGTTTTTGAATGAAGTCTCTTATGTTTACCAAGGCTGCATTTATTTGATTAAAAACACAGTAAAACAATCATATTTCGCAATATTATTACAATTAGAACAATTAGAAAAATAAACAGAAATAAATTAAAAACCAATTTGCTTTAATATATCGTGAAACGTAATTTATCCCTGTGATGGCAATGCTGAGTTTTCAGCATCATTACTCCAGCCTTCAGTGTCACATGATCCATCTGAAATCATTCTAATATGCTGATTAGGTGCCTCTAGAAACATTTGTTATTATTGAAAACAGTTGTGCTGCTTAATATTTTTTTGTGTAAACTGTGATTTACAGTATATATATTTTTTTCCAGGATTCTTTGATGAATATAATATTTACTAACATTATAAATGTCTTTACTGTCACTTTTGATTAATTTTTGATCAGTCATATAGCATATATAGAGAAAAATATCATAAAAATATATATAGAGAAAATGATAGGAATTAACTTAATAAATATTATATTCTATTATTAATTATAAATTCTGATCAATTTCAAAAACGCCAAAGATTGCCAAATAATTGCTGGATGAATGAATGCTTGGGTAAGAAAATGACTGAGCAAGTGAGCGTGCAATGATGTATGTGTGCCTTTAGTCTTTATTTCACAATGATTGTTTATAATCTGTCTATACATGACCATTATTGTGTATATGCCTGGTACCTGGTATAGTATGAGATCAGCGATGCATTGCGTAATCCTGCGGGGCTGCAGCGTATAGTGTAGTTGATGATTCGCACATTGCTAAAGTGCGGTTTCTCCCAGCGGAGCCAGATAGAGGTGGAACTGTTTGCTCGAGCTCTGATGCTGATGGGTGGCAATGGTGGGAGAGAGTCTGTCGTCCGCACTAAGAAAACGACACACACACACACACACACACACACAAATTTAGTGCGATTTAAATCTACAGGACAGCAAGATACAATTTGATCTCATCACAACCACACGCACCTCGGGTGAGCTTCTCTGTTCTGCCCTTCCAGACAGCAGGATAACCCTCAGTCTGTTTATTAAACGCCCAAACTTTCACCTCATACAGCTGATCAGGAGCTGAAACAATCAGGCAAATAAAACTTCACATGCTCATACTGGAAAACATTGCGCATACTTTGCATTCATGCTGGTGTAGGCCAGTGTTATTTTAGTATCAATAAGATAAATAACTGATATATAATAATAATTAGAATATTTTTTGTATAATTTTAATTTTAGTGAAAGTTTTAGTAATTTTGTCATTTAAAACTTTTTTTTTTTAATATACTGTATATTTTTTTGAAGCATACTTCCGTTTTACTTGTAGTAATTTAAGTGCAATTTAAGGCAACTAGCTGAAGTTTATTTTATATATTTTATTTTAATTAACATTTCGTTTATTTCAAGCAATGAAAGTTATTTTTTATGGCTTTAGTTTCAGTTAACTATATTAACCCTGGTGTAGACTGGTCTCTTGAGCAAGAATTGCATGAAAAATACTGTCTGAAGTCATGGGCAAACAGCCAATACAGCCAAAGCTGATCTTCAGTTTTTTCCTTTCTCAGATCCTTTTATAACGGCTGACAGTGACAGAGAGTCACTATCCACTAAGCACATCCAAAAATACAGTCCCTGCATTTAGCATCAAAGGAGCTGCTGTGTAAATGTGGCTATTATATTAGAAATGCAGTTTCAAGTATATTTGTGTGTGAGAGTATAGTTTATGTGAATGAAGTTACTGCTCAGCTCTCACCAAGGCCTGTGACCTCATGGTGTTTAACTCTCTTCCTCAGTTTGATCTGTTGAATCCTCTCGTTGATCATAGGCTTCTCCTCATTGGGCAGCTCCTCTCCATCCAACTCCCGCCAGGAAAGCTTATAACCGGTGATCTGAGTATGATTTGGTGGTGGCTGCCATGTGACATGGAGGGAATGCATTTTGGCTCTCACTTTGAGCTCAGTGGGAGCAAAGAGCACTGGGAAAGACAACAGAGGGAGACAACAGTGAGAACGGCGGTGTGTATTTTGTGTGAGCATGCTGGCAGGGCAGTACATAAGCAGTGGCGCCTCCAGGACAGTTTTAATGAAGGATGCTGAAAATTGCATACAAATTAAACTAGTATTTTAAACAACCAAAAAAGAAGCCTGCAAGCTTATTCAACTACAATAATTCATGTGGATCAGAATTATTAGATTTATTTTATTTTCCTACGTTTAACCTCCCGTTCAAGCTTTAAGAATAGACCTTGGGAAACAGCTAAAAATGAGAAAGTCCTAATAATTTAGCTTAAAAATAATTTACTTGATTAAAATTTTTAAGACAAAATTAAAATAATTAAAATTAAGATAATATGAATTAAAAAATTAAAAAATATAATTAAATAATCAATCATTCAAAATGGCTATGGATTGAACAGAAGATACACATATTCACTATCAGATTTTATACTAAAATTAGCATAACATCCATTAGCATTCAAGAGTTTGGGTACAATATGGTTTTTGGCAAAAAAAATAATAATACTTTTATTTAGCAGTGATACATTATATTGACCAAAAGGGACAACAAATACATTTATAATGTTACAAAAGATTCTTATTTTTAAATAAGTGGCAGTTTTTTTAACTTTCTATATGACAATTTCCACAAAAATATTAAGCAGCACAAATGTTTTCAACACTGATAATAACAAGAAATTATTCTTGAGCAACAAAGCAGCATACTGAAGACTGGAGTAAAATTCAGCTTTACCATCACAAGACTATATTTACATTTTTATCTTGTAATAACATTTCACAATATTACAGTTTTTACTGTAATTATTTTATCAGATTTTTATAAAATGCAGCGTTAAACAGTAGTGCATTTAGGACTTTGTACTTGACTATAGATTTGAACTTTGTTCCAGGACAGACAAGATCTAAACTACAAACAAAAAATTACTAGCATAAAGCATGTGGTGACATATGCTTACTTGAGTTTTTCATTTTTGGACCGTGTCTGATTATACAGTACATGTAGATATCACTAGAAAATCACTATTTAAATAACTAGAAAATCTGAAGTGAACCAAAAATGTATACAATCTTGGTGATTGTGAGACCAGTGGGGTGGTCAGTGTTGTTTTAGGGGATCAACGGCCCACCGGCCGCCCCTTAGAGGCACCACTGCATATAAGTTTAACCTTGTGCGAGTTGAAACTGGTATCAGTGTGCATATAGTGCATTTGCTTATGTGTGCGTGTTTATGTGTTTACTCACCCTGAGTAAGGTTTGGTGTGTGGTGCGAGGCCCACTCAGAAGACTGACTGAACCCAGCCCGCGTTCCCGCCACAATCCGGAGCTGGTACGTTTGATTTGGTTTCAGATCCCTTAGAGTCACCTGCGTCTCATTCCCACCCACTTCCACAGAGTAGATGTGATCCACTGGAGGGCACACACACACAAACACGTGCCAGAAAATAAGTATGCCAGTGAAAATAATTTCTGCAGCTGGCTGATAAAGAAGAACGAACAATGAATGTCTGAATTGAGTTTGCTTCTGTCTCTCAGTCTGCGTCACAGGCCATCAGACCGAATCTGTCTTTTGTTCCACCTTTATTGCTGTTTATTAAGCATCCAGAGCTCTAACAGAGCAGGAGCAATCAGCCATGTCTTTGTCATTCAGCTCAAAATACCCCAGACATGCCTGCTGCCCTACTAGCGACTACAGATAATGCACATACGAATTCAGCAGCCAACATGTATTTATCATGTTTCAAGGTCAAGGTCACATCTTGACCCTATAAATTCTACTGTATCATATTTTATATGCAAATTTCAAAGGCCTCCAAATTTTCAATATGATCAAAACTTTGCTGAAATACCTGTTGTATACAATCTACTACATACCTTTGTCGTCTGATTGATAGGTTGTGCTTTTTAGCAAGTAAAAGGCCTTTTATGCCGAGTTCACACAGCACGATTTTCAAACTTGTCGGATCGCCGTTGTTTTCACACTGCATGACTATCTGGGGTAGCATTCAGTTGCTGCTGTGTTCACATTGCATGATGGATCGGTGACAGGAGGTTACACACTGCATGACTTCACAATAGGAAGAATCGCCGACAGCTCTGTCTGGTTCGCAAACTATATTTCACAACAAAACACACGCGAGAAGTGATAAGAAATAACGTGAGAACCCGCGTGCGTCAGACCGGAGTTTTCGAGCGAGACTGGAATTATTTAAAAATATATATATAGCCCGCAAATTGTCTGTGAGCTGATTTCCAGCTACAAGGAGAAAAATAAAAACAGATTATGCAGGAGGGAGATGCAGGGAACAGGGATTGGGTGTTCTGCAAAAGAGAGCTGGAGGTAAATAATTTTGCAGTAGTTCTGCTGATGTTATGCTGATGTTTTGGCTGGTCAAGCAAATGTTTGTGCTTGTTTCTGTATGATATAATTGTTCATATATCTATTAAAATACTGATATTCTGGTCTATAACTCCTCCCCGAACTTCCCTCTGCCCTGTATCTTGGTCTCTCATTGGCTGTAGGTCATCGCCGATGTAGTTTTCAGTCAGAAATCATTGCACACAGCGAGATTGTGATTAGCATGCCAAATATTTTGCGGATATAATCAGAGGCAAATATTCCCTCAGATTGCATCTTTGATAATTCACACTGCGTGATTGTCACTCGCGTGAATGAGCCTCGGGCATTTGTCTGCGATTTCGCAAAACCTGTCGGCGAGTGAAAAATTGGGCTAAAATCGGGCAGTGTGAACTCGGCATTAGCTTAATTCTAAAAACGCCTCCTTAAGGTCATGGTACACACGTCTTTTTACTGTGCCCCCACTACAAAATATATGATCATAAACCTAAGCAATATATATATATATATATATATATATATATATATATCAGCAGCTGCACAAAATTGCATTTTTGGGCCTTTGAACAAAGTCTATGTTTTTTTTTGTGCTATATTAGCCATAAAAGCCTGATGTATCAAATATGATACTAAACAAAAACACATATGCAAACCTTTTTTTTTTTACTATTTTTTGTAAACGTTTAATAAATTCTTCCATTTCAAAAAATGTCATTTGTCTGACTATTAATTCATATGTCAGGCTTTATGGGGCTACCAAGAACACAAGGTCAGTAGGTGGCGCTGTCTTACCCTGCTCCAGCGCTCTGTAGTCAATGCGGTAGCGTGTGATGGCTCCGCGGCTCAGCTGTGAGGACAGAGGCAGCCACATGGCTCTGATGTCAGTGGGAGATGTGCTCAGCAGGGACAGCTGTGGAGAAGCGCTGGGAACTGCAGAGAACACAAAGCAAACAAAGATTTACAAAACATGCCCTAAATGATGTACTACATACTATGCATTTATACTATGCGCTACGTATTCTGTCGTCTAGTGTATTCCTTTTATAAGGTTATTAGATCAGGCCCTTTCTTTCGGAACATGCTTCACAACTCCTTGTTCAAGCTCTTGTTCTGTCCAGGCTGGACTATTGCAATGCTCTCTTGGCAGGTCTTCCAGCCAGTTCTATCAAACCTTTACAATTAATCCAGAACGTGGCAGCAAGATACATTTTTAATGAGCCAAAAAGAATGCAAGTCACAACTCTGTTTATCAATTATAGCTGAGTATAAAATAGCAGCTCGCATAAAATTCAAGGCAATGATGTTTGCCTACAAAACCACCACTGGCTCTGCACCCCTTTAACTAAATTCACTACTTCAGACTTATGTGCCCTCTAGAAGCTTGCGTTCTGCAAGTGAACATCGCTTTATTGTGCCATCCCAAAGAAGCACAAAATCACTATAACTTCAAAGTGGCACAGAATAGTGCAAAAGTATGCACATTAGGATGCACCTAGTGTCTATTGCACAAAGAGGTCATTTATTTTACTCTGGCCACCAGAGGGCACCCATATGAACGAAAATTGCTATTATATATCAACCTCATTTTGCTACACAAAATTAGGCTATTTTCTGTAAATGTGCTAAGCTTCCTATTCATCAGGTGCTACAGGTAAATAACCAGAAGAATAAAAAAGTGCAGCAAACAGTAAAACTATTTTCACTACAAACCAGTGCATTTGCGATTATTTTAAAATACAAAAATAAATTAAAATACAAATACGAGTCTGCAACATCAAGCAGCATAACAGGCAGTTTTTTGTACAGCTAAAATAATTGGAAGTGGCTGGCATTGAAAATCTTGCACATTCAATAAAAAATTGGCAGCGCCAGCTACGTTCTCTTATGTTAAAAAAAATTGTGGATAGCAACAAATGAAATAGCAATCTGTTCGTTTCAGAAATGCTGTGAGTTTGCCATTTTGCCATTGTCATTCCATCTCTGAATATTTGATTCCATCTTTCAAATTACTAGCATTGCGATCAAAATTGCACTAAAAACAATGGTTAACTCTAGCACATTGCATGCAGCATTTACAGTATGTGAGGTGTTACATAATAGTTATTAATAAGCTGTTCATGTATTCCATGCATAAACCATGCAGATTGTAGACAGCATACAGTACATATCATAGAAATAGCACAAGTATAGCATGCTATTCTGAACATAGCTTGTGAACCTTTAGTAAGGCAGAAAACCAAGTGTGCTTTTGTGCCAATTAGTCAATCCACATTGCTTTGCATTTAAAGGAATAATTCACCCAAAAATGAAAATTGTCATCATTTAGTCTATCTTATGTTGAACATAAAAGAAGGTATTTTGAAGAATGCTGGTAATCAAACAATTGATGGTCCCCATTGACTTCCATAGTATTTATTTCCCTTTGGAAGTCAATGGAGACCAACAACTGTGTGGTACTTCAACATTTTTCTAAATATCTTCTTTTGTGTTCAACATAAGAAAGAAACTTATACAGATTTGGAATGACATGAGGGTGAGTAAAAGATGACCAGGTTTTCATTTTTTGGTGAACTATTTCTTTAAAACCTGACCTCTCCCCACCAGTCAGTGCTCACCGTCCTCTAGCGTCTCCACTGTAACGGGCTGTGACGGGCGGCTGGCACCCATGGGCGAGTAGGCCACTACATAGAAGGTGTAGGCTGTGTGAGGGAGCAGCTCCTTTACGTGCAGCTCTGTTGTGTCATTATTCACCGCAAACTGATACTCCATGTTGTCTGAGCCTGTCAACACATAAATAGTGCATTTGCTTTTTAAACATTTGATCGTAGCCAAAATATTGTTTCTGACAGTCCTTGTGTATATGTGTTTCTAAATGAAGGAAGCGTGACCCCATCAATAACAGCCAGAGCTTACATATGGCTTGTGGTTCTGTACAGCCACAATCTATGAAGTGGATTGGCTTCGGTAACGTAATGAGACAGGATTTTTCTCTGTGGACTGATCCACTTAAGCTGGCTACACTCAGTGTAATGAGAAACACTGCAGGTCAAACAGGGACAAAACAGGAAAGTGCTCACAGAAAGTTTTTTTTTAATTTAAGAACAAATTAACGTTCTTTAAAATTAAACCAGTGTTATTATAGTATTATTTCTATACCATTATAGCATTTATCAGTTTATTTCACATTTCACTCATTATCACATTTCCAGTTTTCAGTTTATTTTTTGTGCTTTTGTAATTTTTATTTTATTATTTTCCGATTAAGTTTTAATTTATTTGTAGTATAGTTTTAGTCATTTTAGTTCTTCAACTTAGTATAATTATTAACTATATGGCAATGTGTAGTTGAAGGGTTTAGTTCAACCAAAAATTCTGTCATTAATTACTCACCCTTGTGTCTTTCCAAACCTTTAAGACCTTTGTTAACAAATTAAGATATTTTTGATTAAATCTGAGAGCTTTCTGACCAAGCATTGACAGTAATGTAACTGAAATGTTCCTAGACCCAGAAATGTAGTAAGGATATCGTTAAAATAGTCCATGTAGCATCAGTGGTTCAAACGTAATTTAATGAAGCTACAAGAATACTTTTTGTGTGCATAAAAAAAAAATTTGTATTCAACAATTCTTCTCTTCCATGTCACCGTACTCCGCCATTAACGAGAGTAGCACAAAGCTTCGTAGAATTATGGTTATGTCACATGGACAGTTTTACAGATGTCCTTAATACGTTTTTGTGCCTGGGAACATTCCAGTTGCGTTACTGTCTATGCAGGGTCAGAAAGCTCTCGGATTTCATTACCAATATCTCAATTTGTGTTCTGAAGATGAACAGGGTTGAAACAACATGAGATTGAGTAATTAATGACAACATTTTGTTGTTTTTTTGGGTGAACTAACCCTTTAAATATACATTATGCATTTTGCATTAGTATTTTATAAATATTAATTGATATGTTACAACATTATAAAGTATCTCACCATTAGGCAACAGAATGGTATTTTTTTACTCCCCGTTCTGAAATTTTAAATACATAAAAATACACTTTCTCTCACCTGCTGTGCATTGGTAGTGTACTGAAAAGCCAATGATCTGGTCACTATTATGTTCAGGTGGGTCCCAGTTGAGCAGGGCAGAAGTGCTAGAGTGGGGTATGGCCGACACATGACGAGGAGGGCTAGGCAGACCCTCCCTCACGATGACGGACAGTTTGGCAGTGGCACAGGCGGTGCCCAGGCTGTTGGCAGCAATACACTGGTAGTATCCCGCATCATCCAGCCGCAGCTGGTTGATGAGCAGAACTCCAGGGTTCTGAGTCTTAACCCGGGCATTAGACTGGACCGGTTCACCATTCTTCAGCCAGCGCAGAGCAGGGGGAGGGTCACCAGAACTATTACACACAAACCGAGCTGTATTCCCTCGGGACAAGGACACCGCCTCTGGGGGCTGGAAGATGACTGGTGGAGCTGGGCAAAATGAATTGGAAAAAAAGACAGTGGGAAAAGTGGAGATATAACTTATTAATGCATTAGGTACCGTGAGCTACAACTTAAAAATGTAGGTTAATGTTAATATAAATGTACTATTTTAAATTTACTCACCCTCAGGCCATCCAAAATGTACATGAGTTGGTTCATCAGAATAGATTTGGAGAAATTTACCATTACATCACTTGCTGACCAATAGATCCTCTGCAGTGAATGGGTGCCGTCAGAATGAGAGTTCAAACATCTGATAAATACATCACAATAATCTACAAGTAATCCACACTCAGTCCACTCCTCCATTTCTGTTTTTATTAGATGTTTGAACTCATATTCTGACTGCAGAAATCATCCAAATCTGTTCAGATAAAGAAACAAATTCACCTACATCTTGGACGGCCTGAGGGCGAGTGAATTTTCAGCTAATTGAAATTTTTGAGTAAACTATTCCTTTAACTTATGTTAAAGTTAACTTAAAAAGTTAAACTTAAAAAATGTGTATATAGAAATGAACACTAAGATTAATTTATTGTTTATTGCAAGTTCATATTAGCTATTGTATTAACTACAGGTGATACAGAATAAGTGTTACAGAAATCATGTGTAAATCAACCAATGGGTAAAAACCACTCCATTACACTCTTAAAATGAGTCATATTGTAGGCTCAAATATGTCAGGAAGCTATAAACTTACTTTAACATAATTTCTCAAGGACAAAAAAAAATAAAATCTACTACTATTTTTTTCCCCTGCAAAACAGATGGGCATCGATTAGATGAAGCCTCCCCTAGTGCGTAAAAAAAACTTCTTGCTGTAAAGGTTGGAGCATATTTTTGGGAGGAATAATTATACAATACTTCCATGCAGAACATTTCTTGTCTGTTTTATGTTGTTGGTTGAGATTGCTTCTAAAATAAGTTTTCCTTATGAAATTTCTTCATTTACCAAGCACCTAGCTAGATCAAAAGATCAGTCAGTGTATGCACTGCATTTAGTGTATGCATGGCCACAAAGTTCCTCTATGGTCTGACCACAACACACAGTTGGAGCTGTTGTTCAAACAACCTCATTAGATAGCGTTTAGCAATGGAATCACTTAAATGTGCAGTTCAGATCCTTGTGATTCTTCCAGTGACCATTTATTGTTTTTTCTCATTGCACATGGACAATATGTATGTATGCGTATCTTCTTCCTTGCTAAAATTTGCATCTGTTTTGGACAAACACAGATACAAGAAGTACTACCTAAACTAATAAATAATAGTACTGTCATAATGGTTTTGCTACCATGGTGTGTGTGTGTGTGTGTGTGTATGTATGTATGTATACCATTTATATATACCGTCTATGAATTTTACATCCAGTCAGCCAGGTCAGCAACCATCTGTTTTTTTTTTACTAGAAAGCTTATTGATTTTAATCATGGTGACGAGGGGATTTTATCATATATTTTATAATGCAGGGGAAAAGAAACTGGCAACCACACAGTTCTTGAACAAATATTCAAAACCTAACAGCCATTAAAACTACAAGCCAATTAATTTTTTTGTGCTTGATAAATAAGATATACAGCTTCCCATATGTTGGAATCACTGATTCTGAATCAGTAAGACTCATTGTATATTTTGTTGCATTTACAATCACTCAGTAATGTATCCAGTATTTATTCAGAATATGCAGGATCCATTAAAAGGAAAACACACTATTACCCAGAACTCGAAGTTCAGCGGGAGATGAGACGAAATCTCTGGTCTTGGGTTTGTTGGCACGACACACATACACTCCAGCATGGTGACTGCGGGTGTCAGGAATCACTAGGTTGGTTGCCAAGACAACCACATCTGTAGCTATAGGCTTCCCATCTATGCATCCCAAAGGAGTGGTTGTGTAAAAAGAAGGCAAAAAATGAAAATGAAAATGAAAAATTGATTAATCAAGACTGAGCAAGCAGGGACATTTCAAATTTGAAGTATACAGCTGTCAATATGAAAAATATGACTTTTTTAAGGATGTAACCATGTCACTAGGTGGATCCAAGTCTCATGTACTATTAATAAAAATGTAATTAAAAAACATTAACAAAAATTTTAAGTTTTTAAAGAAACAAATAACAACATTTAATTCTGTCATCAATTACTCACCCTCATGTTGTTCCAAATGCAAAAACAATGAATAGGTTTAATGGTTACACTTTATTTTAAGGTGTCCTTGTTACAGTGTAATTATTCACTTAAGCACTAAGTAATATTAATCTACTACATGCACTTACTATAAGGTTAGGGTTAGGGTTAGGATTAAGGTGTGGTTTAGGATTACTTGCATGTAATTATGCATAATTTATTGTTTTTATAATAATAAGTACATGTAACGTGTAACAAGGACACCTTAAAATAAAGTGTTACCGCTTTAATATTCCAATAAAGGATGCAAACATCAGCAGTGTCTATATAACATTTCTCATTCTGTAACCCATGCCAGAAAGAAAGGAAGTCTTTTGTGTCTGAAGCAGCATGAGGGTCAAAAATGATGCAAATTTCTAATTTTGAATTATAATGGTGTGCAAGGCACATCATGAACCAGCAGAGGTCAGTACAGCACTGGAGCACTTGGTACAGCGTGCATTAACGATTCCTAGACACTGACCGTCTGCGGCTGCCATATTAGCGCTCAAACAAAGAAAAAAGACACCTCATGAATTTTTACAACATCTTGTTAATTTTTCATGAAACCTAATGAGAATAATGCTCTCAGTTATTGGCATTATTGTGGGGGAAAGAGGACAAAATGAGGTCCGTAATGAACCTGGATGGAGGCAGTAACAGTGGGGGTGAAGGGTGGGTGTGTAGTTGGGGTGTCTGCAGCAAAGCCACGTGTCTATAAACCAAACATATAAGCTCACCTATAAATCACAATTTGTGTGCTTCATTTACATTTTCCTATGTAAGCACTCAAAAGTTGACAGTGAACACAGCACTAATTACATTTCGGTCATTCAGCTGACACTTTTATCCAATACAACAATGCACGTATTACAAGCACAACGTCTGCTAATCAACCAGGGGTTCAAGTGCTTTATTCAAAGGAACAGTAATGCTTGTTTAAAGATTTTGAACCTGTCGGGGTTTGAACTTACTAGGCTCTCCGACTCGCAAATGGCTGCAATATAACAAAGAGTGAAAAATTTAAGGGCGTCTGAATACTTTCCGTACCCACTGTATATATTCAGTATATACACTTTGGGTCGACAATGATTGTGTTTCAATGTGGTCTATAAATACAATTTGACTATAAACTATAGATTCAGTGGTAAAGGCCTGTTCCTGTGGCCTCATAAGAGCCCATATGAATTCAGTAGACACCCACAGATCATAATGAAGTAAAACATAAGTGTGCAGCTATGGATACAGTATGACGGTCATAAATGAATCACTCTGATTACATACAGCAGCAATCACATAGGCAGGAGAGCACAGGGATTTAAAATAGGTCAGATTTCTGAGGCTACAGGGTGCACCGTGTAAAAGCAATGTGAGTGTGTGTTTCTGTATTTAAGCAGGTACACCAGTGAACGTGTACCTGTGGTTAAAACAAACCCGATACTGAGAACAGCAGACCACGAAGACCCACTTGAAGAACAGCAAAAGTTTGCTTATAAGGCTTTTTTAAGATTAAGTGAGTGTTTAACAAAATATTCAGTATCAAGCAGAATGCTGATGAGCCAAACTACAGCTTCCCATTGCAGTGAGATGAGATACCTGCTTCGCACACACTCATAAAGACTGATACTGTGTACTTGAGCGGTCTGGTCTCAGGGGCAAAAGATGCATTGCATTCACAAAGCAAAACTACGATTTCCTCAAGGTGAAGACTGCTCTCTTTTAATCTGTCTTTCTCTCAATTCAGCATGATTTTATCGGCATTACTGAAAATATTACATATTAACAAAGCAGAGGATGTATGTAAAAATAGAACAATACATTAAAAGGTAAGTTAGACAACAAGTAACATAAGAACGACTTACATGAATGACTGAAATGTTTATGTAACAATAAAGGCCATTTTCATTACATAAGATGTCTACATATACACGCAGACACACAGGGTCACCATGGTGAAGAAAAGCGTACAGAAAACATACTGGGATAATACATATTTAGTCACAGACTTGCAGACAGTGATGTGAAAACACATCTAGCAGCCAGTGTTGCTCTACGTCCTTCTCCTGTCATGATTGAAAAGCTGCTTGGGATTCTTCAATTCTTTGCCAATTTAATAATAAAAGAAAAACAATAAGATGACAGACAGATAAATAAACGAATAAATAGCAATTGTGTTCAGTGAATCTATAACTTCTCCTTTTTTCTCATTCTACTTTTCTTTCTCTCATTCCATCTCTATTTGTAAAGGTGCAGTCCTATTAACCAAATTTTGAGGAAATTCCACAGACAAAAAACATTGTTCAAACTTCAGCAATGCATGAAGAGCAGCTCACATAGAAGTCCCTTTCAACATCTTTCACCACTAAAGTAATTTTGTTTTCCTCCATAAAGAGAGAGAAGAAGCTTTATGAAGCAACTGATACAAATAAAAGGGTTGAAAGCGCAAATAGGAGTAAAAGAGAAGAAGAGGGAGAACGATGAATGTGGAACAATTAGAGAGATGGCTTAAAAGATGAATGTGTGAGACGGAAACCACACACACACACACACACACAGAAAATCATTGAGGTCTCTGGCTGATAACGCAGAAACATAATGGAAATGAGCAAAGGTCAGCATAGACATTTAAGTCATTCAGAGGTGTGTGTGTGAAGAGGGTTAGAGGCTGAGACTGACTTCATAGCATTACCGATCTGTCTCCCTCGTCTTCCCACACTCCCTTTTATTTCATTTAGTTCTTTATCTCTCTAGCTTTCTCTGTCTTTGATCCTCATCTCATTCCTCTCTTCCATCCCTCCTTTTGCACCCTCCATTTCATCAGCCAAGCAGCCTTAAGGACAGCAGGAAATCAATTCTGCCTGCAACACAGACCACCTCTGCAGAGGACACTTATACACACACACACACACACACATACACACACAACATTGAAAGTGCCACTGCAGATATTCAAACTTTACTTCAAACAAAAAGACTGGAGAAGAACAACAAAACTGGTATTTTTCACAATTTAAGGGGTCATTTCATAAGGAATCACATTACCATTATTCTTCTGATATAAAATTGCTCAGAGTTTTATGAAAATATACTGTTACTTTCATTCAAAAATCAAAAATTTGCACCAACAACCATTTATTTTTACAGATCAGGACAATTCAGTGTTTAGAAATCTGGTCATTCATCACAGTAAAGCAATCTGCTTGTTAACCTGCCATGTAATGAATGCTGTTTCCGGCCTCCACTCTTTCAATTGGGAATACTAGCTCAACATGTCAGGGTCCCGCCCTGACAGTCATGTCTGTTCTGTCTTTGTTTAGCATTTCCTTGTTTGTCTTGAGTCTGAGCACATGGCTTTGTCTTTATTTATGTTGGCCATGTGCTCCTCTCGTCATGCCCCCTTGTTTCCCTCTGCCACGCCCCCTTGTTTAGTCCTAGTCTAGTCCTCGTTAACTTGATTATGTCCACCTGTTCCTCGTAGTCGGTGTGTTATTTTGCTGCTGCCTGTTCTCTCTTGTGGCCTTGTCTTGTGTGTCGTGTTATGTCTTGTGTTGGTTCCAGTTCTGTGTCCTGAATCCCTCCTGGCTGCTGTTCTCAAGACCTGGCTATCTGACTGGACTGGTATCACTACAGCTCAAAGTATCAAGCCCTGGATTCTCAAGCTGCTGCCTGAGATCCAGTGTTCTCATTGACTGGGGCTGCTCTATCTCCTTTGTTCTCCAGCAGAACTTTGTCCAGGCCTGACCAGGGACTAGCGGACTGCCCTTTCCTATTGTTTGGACTCTCACATGTGCCCTGATAATCCTTGTCTTGTCAATAAACCGCACTCCCTTGATCATTCTGCATCTGGGTCACTCTCTCTCTGACAGAACCGTGACACAACAGCAACATTTATGGTAAGCTTTTAAAAACTCATGATGTACACTACAGTTTCCAAGCTTAAGGTATCCCGGACACCAATATTTTAATGATTCAGAAAAGATGAATCACTGTCTGGCCAGCAGAGATTTCCATATGGAGATAAAGGTTTGAATCATGACATTTTGGTAGCATTACAGCACATTGTGAGCGTATATTACCACCTTATGTTGTGACTGATGTGTGACGTCAGCCAAGTGGATTGGGGGTGGGGGGAGTAGAATAGATATTATCATTGGTAAACAATGATACAAGTAAAATGCCACTGCCACATTGCAAGTCCATCTTAAAGGCTTTACTTTAAACAAGGTTTCTGATCTGATTTCAGTCTGATATTAAAGGGATAGTTCACCCAAAAATTAAAATTCTGTCATTAATTACTCACCCTCATGTCGTTCCAAACCCGACGGGATGAGGAGAAAAATTGGTGAATAAAATCGTTACTTTTGTTTTTGCGCACAAAGTATTCTCGTCGCTTTGTAAAATTACGGTTGAACCCCTGATGTCACACAGACTATTTTACCGATGTCCTTACTACGTTTCTGGATCTGGGAACATTGCAGTTGCATTGCTGTCTGTGGAGGGTCAGAGAGCTCTCGGAATTCAACAAAAATATCTTAATTAGTGTTCCGAAGATGAACGAAGGTCTTATGGATTTGGAACGACATGAGAGTAAGTAGTTATAGACCATTTTTATTTTTGGGTGAACTGCCCCTTTAACAGATTAACAGGCAGTTAAAAACTACATTGGCAAACCAGCAAAGTTCATTTCACATACAAAAAGACTACACTCTAAGAAAAATATGGTGCAGTGTATTGTGTTAATGTTAAGAATGTTCTGTATTGATTTTTCACAGGTGATTTAAATTACACATTGCACTGTTGTGTTTAAGAGCTGAAGGAAATGTCTAAACTTAACTGGAAAAAAGTCAATACCCATTTTTCTATAGATTTTTTTTCATCCGGTGCACCTGGATAGCAAAACATACCGTTCAATTCCAACAGACTGAACTGAACTGAACTCTGAATAATCACTGACTTCTGAACGTCCATTGCTGTGTGAGTCAGAGAGATGAGGTGAATGGAGCTTATATGTGAGGTATGGATCGTGAAAAAATCAAAGGTCATTTATGATGGGGTAATTGGGAACAGGTCTTTGTGTTATACCTGGGCTAACTGTGAGCGAAGCCTCTTGGCTGAAGCGCTTGCGGGCAGAGTTGAAGGCCACGCAACGGTACAAGCCTTTGTCTTCTTTAGTGACCCCTAAAATCTGCAGCACCCCATTAGGAAGAGATATGTACCTGCGTGAGAGAGAAAGAGATTAGATTAGCATTGCTAAATCACCCGAAAACATCAATATGTGTGCATTTATTTGCTGTTCTTCTAAACTAAAGCTACTTTTAAGCCTTAGGAGGCTAGCAGTCTGCTATACATTCTGGCGCGAAGCGCTATACAGTTTAGAGCAACATATAAAGAGGCACGATACACGAACCATACTGCAGAAATAACATAGCGGGGGAGTGAAAAATAGCAGAGAAAAGAGTCTAGTCTACAGATGTAGGAGAACAAACCAATATGGCAGCTTGTATCTTCAAAAGTCAATTCCTCTCTTTCACTTGCTCTTTCTCTCTCTGTATGTGGTGGCGAGGTTAGATTGCACTAATATTCATTCCATAGTCATCTATCTCCCCAGAGACCGCTTTCAAATCCCCTTTTCATTTAGGACCGATACTATACACCATTAATCTTGTAGACTCATCCCCAAGAGCTAGACATTCCGGCAGAAAGGCCACAAAGACCAAGGTTGGGTGAATTCGTCCACCTATGAGTGCGAACTGGTTGAAATCGGGTGCGTGTGACTCGCTATTGTAAAATTCATTGGTGCTGAGAGAGTTCAGCTGAGGACACGTCCACACCAGAGCTACACCTCCAGCGGCACGGCACCGCCTCAGCTGCGCTCGGGATGTAAATGAGAGAGTGACTGCAGCAGCCGCCAGAACACAACAGCATGTATTAATGCATGGCTAATGTGCAAGCGTGTTCTCATTAATATGGAGAGGGGCTGTGAATACAAAAGACACTTTTTACGGACACAAAAGGAAGCTTCCAAAGCAGACAGGGAATAATCTCGGAGGCACGTTTTCCAACAATCTGTCTCGCTTTTTAAGTTGGATCTCATTTGTAATTCCAAACTGCTTGAGACAAAAGCACTGTAAGAGGTCAGAGACTTCATGTGAAGATGCAGTGACAAATTTCTCAAGACTACTAGAACCTCTACTACCTCTGCTGTGCATACAACCTTAATTCACAAGCTCATATCTAAAATATGAGCAGATAAACAGATTGGTAAGGGTAAAAACATCTGGCTAGCTGTCTGTAAAATAGTGTCGAAGAGAGTCATTCAAAATCTCCAATAGAATGTAAAAGATTATTTAATTCAAAGTTTAAATACACTACTAGTCTCTAAAGGCCACCATGGCTGCATTTATTTGATCAGATTAAAAATTATTATTGTAAAATATTATTACAATTTAAAATAATTTTTCTATTTGAATATACTTTAAAATGTAATTTATTCCTGTGATGGCAAAGCTGAATTTTCAGCAAACATTACTCCAGTCTTCAGTGTCGCAGGAATATTCACAGATCATTCTAATATGCAGATTTGGCGCTCAAGAAACATTTCTTATTATTATCAATATTAAAAACAGCAGTTCTTGTTAATATTTTTGTAGAAACCATGATCGTTTTTTAGGATTCACTGATGAATAGAAGGTTAAAAAACAGCATTTACTTTTAATTAAAATCTTTCGTAACGATAGTCTTTTTTTATTACTTTTTACTTTTACTTTTGATCGATTTAACATATCATTACTGAAAAAAAAAAGTATTCATTTTAAAATCAAAATTCCACTGACCCCAAACTTTGGAACAGTAGTGTACTTTAATTTTTTAGCTTTTATGAACCAGAATTTTGAATGACGCGACTACACAAACCAGCTCCACGCAAACTTTTCATACTCCATTTTAGTTTAGAATTGAGTCTCTGCAGGACAAAAATGGTGTTTCCCAATCAGTGGGTGTTTATAAACCACTTTACCTGACTGGATAAAATCATGAAGGTCCACCCCCAGTGAGTTAGAGCAACTCGGGTAAAACAGTTGAAAAACGTCTACAAATTGATTAGGTAACGCCCCCAGCCGACTGCAGAGATCTATATTTGGTTGAAGCAACAGCAAAGAGGCTAGTGTTTGTGGGGAGCTTGGTTCAGGCTCGGCTTGGGTCATGTCTCAATCCAGTTTCCCCTCTATCTTTGCTTTCCTCTCCATTATCCATTGTCTCATCCAATTAAAACAGAAAGGAAATAAAAAATGTAACTCAAAACTCAATTTGATGACATTTGATGTACATCATTGCACAGTTGCTGTCATATGCAGAGAAATATTTCTCAGTGGATTCCTCAACAGAAATTGAAGTGGATGATGAAATCTCTAAATGATGCAATCAGGAGACATTTTCATAAAATTCTCTGCATCCTTATTTGACATTTCAAAATATCTGTCCTTTTTTGCTTTACACATTTTCCTAAGCATTAACTCTTGAAAATATCAAGCCTGCCCTTAAAAAACCTGAAAAAAAGCTGTAAAGTACTATTTTGTACAAAGAAAACCTTTGATGAATAACATTCATATACAAGGCAAAACAGACACAATTAATGAGTAATATAATAATATTATGTGGCTACAGCTTTTTCACTGGGGCTGGAGCCAGTGCTCGACCAAGAGTGGCACTCGTTCAGAACCAGCTTGCATTTCCACTGGCAGGGAGCAGAACCCTCTGCAACACCAAACTTGTGACCGGAATCACTTGTTATCTCTTGCGGAAGGAGAGCATTGATCTGATCCGACTGACAGCAGCTGGAGATCGTGCATCGGTGCTCTACTGCTATTCCTGCAGCTCCCGGATGTGCAATGCCGAATTTTCTGCTGAATTTTAACCACTGAATTTGTACAAGCGAATTTGGAAAGTGAAATAAAATGGACCGAAATTTGCCTGTCGAATATTATATATCGTATTTTTAAACAGGTTGAATATTTTGGAATTGAATTCTGGAAGGTGAATATGAATTATTGCATTTTTAATTATGAAAATGTGTGAAATATTTTGAATTGAAATATTCACAGCTTAAATAGACAACTATGTTAAATTTCAGGACCTAAAAATGCAAGCCCTGGAAATACAAGGCATTAAAATGCAAGCACTGTTAATGCAATGCATTGCAATGGATTGTTTTATCAGTTCGTGCTATTCAATGTGCTTTTTTGTTTCAAAGACATATGGCATTATTTTTCTTCCATAGTTGTTTACCATTTTCCAAGTGTGGCAATACCGTAACATGAATTCACTGTGTTTGGCTAGCTTGTTTCAAACTATTTGTAATTTGATATCTTTTCAAACACACAAAATAATCAAATGAATTGAAAATCTATAGGCATACCAAATATTTATTCAATAGATTATTTTAGTAGCCATTATGCTGAGTTGGATAAAATGATAGTCAAATGTATTAAAATGAATGACTAAAGCATATAAATGAACTTAAATGAAAATATCTAGATGAAACACATACTTTGATATTCAATTATATACATTTATTCATAGTGATATTTTGATATTAGTCTAAAAGATGCTGTAACAAATAAAAATACAATGTGATTTTTTTTAACCAAAAATGTGATGTGTGTAAAATGTACCATTAGTTATAATTTACTACGTCATCAGCAGAGGTTGTCAACTGAAGCAACATTATGTTCCCTTCAGGAGACACACACTACAGAACTGCACTCACAGACACTATGTCTAATGAGTTTCCACCACTAGGCACACCACAAGTATTCTCTAGACAATACACATAATTGGAGGAGCTGGGCAGCTTCTAACTTGACCGCAAGCCATTATCTGTAAGGATAGATAGAGTTTTAATGAATCAGACAAGTTCTGGGAATTCTAATATCAGTAATACAGTTACAGTACTACAAAACTACCTGGTAATTTTGTAAGTGTTGTGCCGTAATAACTTATTTTAAGATAGGGCTGCATGCATGACATTTTTATAATATAATAATGGTTATTCATTTAGATTAACAATGGAATTTAAAAATGGAATTTACATTGAAATTAGGGCTGGGCGATTTTTCTGATTTTATTGATTAATTCAAATTTAATGTTTTGCCACGATTTTATTTTTTAGAAATCGAGGAATCGTCATTTTGAATAGAAATATTACCAAAAGTTAGAAGTGGAATAGGGAAACAATGCAAGAAGATGGGAGTTGAACTTTTAACTTGAGTGCCACATTTTTATAATACAGTTTCATGCATGAGATGCTGCGAGACGCGAGCGCAACAGTCAAACGCGTCCATGTTTACATAGAAAAAACAATGAAAAACAGCGCAATCGAGAGAAAAAAAAAACTGTAACTACTACTGTATGTCTGATATTTCATGTTTGCATCATGGTGACAGGCTGAAAGCTGCTGTTCATTGTTTTTACAGAACATTTATAGTCTAATCTATAGTCTACTAGTGTATACCTTCAGTAATTTTGAATTTGAATTACAGTATTGGCCCGAATATAAGGCGACCCCCCTTTTTCCAGATGTACCTTTTGAAAAAAAGGCTTTTTAAAAACCAAATCCTGTTTTTTCTCTTCATTTTGTCTTCAATTATTTTCATATTGCATATTTTTCCTATTTTAATTTTTTGTTTTGAAAGTATGGTAAAAACTAGTAAAATGTACCAACAATCACATTTAAAATATATACACTTTTTGATATACCATTAAAAAAACTAAACAGGTAGCCCATCTGAATTAGGACATTTAGGCTATCCATCTAATAGTAGCCTACCAAAATCTTATTAACAGTAGAAGTTAAATCTTACTGTAGTCTTCAAATCTGGGTACTGTCTTACGTTTTAAAATCACAACGGGAGTTTGTTCACGATCTTTACAACAGGCATTTACGTATTTCATGGCACACTCGTTTTATGCGTATTTGGCGCCACCTATTGTTGTGGGTGTATTATTGACATGTCAAAGTCTAGACCCTGAATATAAGACGACCGCGTTTTGTCAGATGTATTTCCAAGAAAAAAACATCGTCTTATATTCGGGTCAATACGGTACCTTGACTTTTGAGAATTTTCCATGTATTATTTCTGAACATATAATATGTATAAGACAAGTTTGTACAAGATATAGTTGTAGTTCATCCATCCATCTTTTCTTCAAAGATAGCAAATGATTTGTTTAACATTTACATCATGCTGACAACTTCATGTGTGGTGCACTTGGAATACAATTTTCTGCAGCTAGAAGGTTAATAAGAAAAAGTTACTTGAATCATGTTGTAGTTACATTTACAAGTTGACTAGTTAAAAATCGAGACCAATTGAGACCAATTGAGAATCGGCCAAACGTTTTGGAAAAAATCGAGATTTACATTTTTGCCATATCGCCCAGCCCTGAAATACATATTTTGTTGTGAAATCTGATCCCAAAGCTGTTACTGTAAGTTTCCTCCTTCCTGTCCATCTTACACAGTCTACATTGCAAGTGAGCAATGCAATACCTAATGAATTCAAAATTAAGTCTAGATTACCACAGTTGTTTTTCAATTTGGTTCTAAAACTTATTTTTGAGCATTTCTTAAAATGAAGTGAAACTTAAAACATGAATATGTGGACACATCAGTAATCATTGCAATGTTCAACTTCTGCAAGACACGTTGCAAATAAAATATATATATATTTTTTTTAAATAATAATTTTACTCAGCAAGGATGCATTAAACTGATAAAAAAATAATAATAATAAAGATTTTTACTTGGTTACCAATACATAGATAAATAATTACATATTTCAAATAAATGCTGTTGTTTTGAACTTTGTATACATCAAAGTACCCTGAAAAATGTATCTTAGTTTCCACAAAAATATGTAATAGAACAACAGTTTTCAACACTGATCATAATAAATGTTTAAAAAGCACCAAATCAGCATATTTAAAAGATTTCTGAAGGATCGTGTGACTCTGAAGACTGGAGTATTGGCTGCTGAAAACGTACACTTTAAAACACATTCAAATAGTAAGCGGTTATTTTAAATTGTAATAATATTTACAATATTTCTCAATGTTACTGTATTTTGTATTTAATAAACACAACATAAGAAACTTTCAAAAACATTACAAAAATCTAACAGACCCCAAACCTTAAAACAGTAGTGTATGTATAATTAATAATGTCTATATTTTTCAAATAATTGTGCAGACCATGTTGGACTAGCTTCACACTTGCTCTGTGTAAACAATGTTGTATGTGATCACATTTAAAAAATAAACACTTTTTGATATACCATAAAAAATAAAAAAAAACAGGTAGCCCATCTGAATTAGGACATTTAGGCTATCCATCTAATAGTAGCCTACCAAAATCTTATTAACAGTAGAAGTTAAATCTTACTGTAGTCTTCAAATCTGGGTACTGTCTTACGTTTTAAAATCACAACGGGAGTTTGTTCGCGATCTTTACAACAGGCATTTACGTATTTCATGGCACACTCGTTTTATGCGTATTTGGCGCCACCTATTGTTGTGGGTGTATTATTGACATGTCAAAGTCTAGACCCTGAATATAAGACGACCGCGTTTTGTCAGATGTATTTCCAAGAAAAAAACATCGTCTTATATTCGGGTCAATACGGTACCTTGACTTTTGAGAATTTTCCATGTATTATTTCTGAACATATAATATGTATAAGACAAGTTTGTACAAGATATAGTTGTAGTTCATCCATCCATCTTTTCTTCAAAGATAGCAAATGATTTGTTTAACATTTACATCATGCTGACAACTTCATGTGTGGTGCACTTGGAATACAATTTTCTGCAGCTAGAAGGTTAATAAGAAAAAGTTACTTGAATCATGTTGTAGTTACATTTACAAGTTGACTAGTTAAAAATCGAGACCAATTGAGACCAATTGAGAATCGGCCAAACGTTTTGGAAAAAATCGAGATTTACATTTTTGCCATATCGCCCAGCCCTGAAATACATATTTTGTTGTGAAATCTGATCCCAAAGCTGTTACTGTAAGTTTCCTCCTTCCTGTCCATCTTACACAGTCTACATTGCAAGTGAGCAATGCAATACCTAATGAATTCAAAATTAAGTCTAGATTACCACAGTTGTTTTTCAATTTGGTTCTAAAACTTATTTTTGAGCATTTCTTAAAATGAAGTGAAACTTAAAACATGAATATGTGGACACATCAGTAATCATTGCAATGTTCAACTTCTGCAAGACACGTTGCAAATAAAATATATATATATTTTTTTTAAATAATAATTTTACTCAGCAAGGATGCATTAAACTGATAAAAAAATAATAATAATAAAGATTTTTACTTGGTTACCAATACATAGATAAATAATTACATATTTCAAATAAATGCTGTTGTTTTGAACTTTGTATACATCAAAGTACCCTGAAAAATGTATCTTAGTTTCCACAAAAATATGTAATAGAACAACAGTTTTCAACACTGATCATAATAAATGTTTAAAAAGCACCAAATCAGCATATTTAAAAGATTTCTGAAGGATCGTGTGACTCTGAAGACTGGAGTATTGGCTGCTGAAAACGTACACTTTAAAACACATTCAAATAGTAAGCGGTTATTTTAAATTGTAATAATATTTACAATATTTCTCAATGTTACTGTATTTTGTATTTAATAAACACAACATAAGAAACTTTCAAAAACATTACAAAAATCTAACAGACCCCAAACCTTAAAACAGTAGTGTATGTATAATTAATAATGTCTATATTTTTCAAATAATTGTGCAGACCATGTTGGACTAGCTTCACACTTGCTCTGTGTAAACAATGTTGTATGTGAATAAAGTATGTCGAAAAGGGAATCATACATTCCAAAGCCCAAGCCAAGATATCCTACCTGGATGGTTCTAGAGGTTCTGTGGGTGAAGGTAGGGGCGCCTGGTCCTTCTCCCAGGTGACACTTGGGGTGGGCAAGCCATCTACATAGCACTCAAACCGGGCAGTGCCACCTACTGGCACAACCTGAGGTTCAGGATCCTGAAGAAAACGGGACAAGCCTGAAGAAAGATGGAGAAAGCAAGAGAGTGTGGTAGAAAGAAAACGAGAAGAAAGCAACAAGAAATCAAAAAAGGGAATCAGTGAATGCATCACAATAACTTTTCACGGAATAAGCACAAGCAATATATCCACATGGTGGGAGTAGAGGAAGGCGAGCGGGGCCCCTGACCTCTGCTCCGGTGCCTCTGAGCTTTGAAAATACTCTCACTTTGATCTGCTACATCTGCTAGACTCACACTGCTCATAACCCCACAGAACACTGAACAACTCACACACACAAGAACAAGCGTACTTCATTATTCATACAAATACCAAATATATAACCAGAAATGTTGCTAACAGCAAGGTTCAGTTTGCATGTTTTAGACATACTTTAATAGGTTTCAATTTGTATCATTTGTATGTTTAAATTAATTTTAGTTGTGTGTATTATAAACAAATGTGAATTAATAATAAACAATGGTATATTTATAAATTAACATTAACCTATATTATTAAATGCAAGAAAACCCGTTGTTCATTGTTAATTCATGATACAAAATCCATTACCTAATGTTAACAAATTCAAACTTATTGGAAAGTGTTACTATAATCTCAACTTCACAACCACACTGTCAATACTTACGCTAACAAAATCGTGTAGCATAAAACTGACACTAAATGTCATCTACCCAGATTTATAATGAATTTTAATACAGCTTTGGTTTTAAATGAGATGCATTTACACATAAGACAACCTAGCGATAAAAAATATTTTGATTTAGGTTATTCAATCATATTAAGAATACAAATATTTATAATGGACCAATGTATTTTCAAGAGACTACTGACTACTGAAGCTTCTCTGAAGTTGATTTATGGTCACCCAGAGGAGCAGGCATCAATAGACAGACAGTTCAAATCTAAAAGTTCCTAAACAAGCTCACACATGAAGCACATCAGTGTACATAACAGCTCCGCTCGGCTGAGACCTGTTAAACATTAACACTAGATATTTTTGACTTGTACACAGCATGAGGTCTAAAGCAAACACACTCTACAAAAAAAAAACATGGGAGATTTACTGGAGCACACACCAGCAGCATGGTTATGTGTAGCTGTAAGCATCTGAAATTACAAAGCTATTCAGGAATAATGAGAAATATTCAGCCACTGAGGGAAAAAGCCACTTTACAACAACAAAAAAGTAGAATATGGACTGAAAACTGTTTAAATGAGGCTCCCTTCCCCCGTGACTGTCACCACAGAGTGAGTAATAATGAATAAGATTATTATCATGATAACTGTAAGCGTGTGAGTGCTACGGAGAGTCACTGTTCCTCAGAGCAGCTCACCTCCACATGCTGCAGCACCGAGGATCCCAGTCATGCAGATGACAGATAACCGGGGGTAAATTACAAAACCATGTACTCGCATCCCTCCCCTGGTAGAGACCTTCACTGCACTGATTTCTCAATGGAGGAAATGGTCTCTCTGTTTGGACTGTTTCCAATCCCAATACTGTCTCCCTGTCTAGTTCATTCTCAAAATACTGTGACAAAAATGTACAGTCAAGAAATTTCTTTCTGTCTTTATATGTATATATCTATAGTATCTCTTACTTATTTTAATTTTTTGTGTTAAAAGCCCCCATTAGTGTGTGTTAAAAACACCCTTTTATGTTAAATAAAATAACCTTTATGATGATTACCCTATTAAAAAAGTAATATATTTAAAATACATTTATTTCATACTAAGTATAGTTCTAATCTATTAACATATTTACTGACACATCGCTTGAGACGTACTAATATAAAAATTGTAATTAAGCTTTATTTGGAGTACTACTTGTGAACAATGCACATTTCTTAATACTAAGCCGAAAATGTGTTTTAATGTCACTATTGATGAGGACTGTATGATTGATGAATAACATCAGTCTTTAAATGCAAGATATTTAAAGTGTACCTGAAATATAGTTCCACTTTAGGACAATCAAATATACTTAAATACTGTATATCTTCAGTTGGACCTCAGCGCTACATCCACACAATTTAAAGTGTATCAAGCACAAAATTAGTTTAAGTATACCAGTTTAGTATACCAAAAGTACAACTGCAGGGTATTTTTATTAAGTATATGTAAATGTATTTGTAGTATACTTATACTTATAGTATACAAATACAGTATATTTCTTTTTCACTAGGGTATTGATGTTATTTATGCAATACATTATTTGTATGACGTCAAATTCAATTTCTACTTTTCATTTCAACATGACAGTTTCCCACCACCATGCGAAGCAACTGTTTCCCACCACAAAAATATCACCTTATATAATAAAATAAAATGAAATAAAACATTAACTACTTTTGTTGCCCTTTATGATAAATAATGAGAACATGTTTCTAATTTCCATGTAATACCAACATGGCACGAAAAAGCACAATCGTGTCCTTGTGCTAACCAGGTGAGAGCAGCACTCAGATCCAGCCAAGCAAAGACAACCAAGTGGAATGCGGCAGAGAGAGAGGGCCAGAGATAGAGGATAACCCTAATTCTTAATACAATATAATATACGTGTCAACACCACTTTTTAAGTGTATAATATAATATTTTATCAGATGTTTATCAGATATGTGTACACAGTAATTAGAATGTGATGCTTTCCAGATGATGCAGAATTAAACACAACCAAAAACTTGAACACTGGCTGGCCTCTAAAGTTTGAAAGAATCGGGTTCTTTGATCTCTCTTAGACCCACAGCTGCTGTGTGTTGGACATAAATCAGAGTAGAAAGTGTTTATACTCACTGGCGAGATGCAGGGTGAGAGCCCGGCTGGTCAGGGCTCCTGTCGAGCTGGTACTTAGGCAGCTGTATCCACCCTCCACACCCGCTGGAGCATGGCCATCCGTGGAAGAGGGCGAGATGAGCAGAGATCTGTTGGGCAAAGGCCGGATGGTCTGGCTTTCTGAGAGAACTGCCCCATCCCGCAGCCAGGTCACGTTGAGGGGGGGCTCACTGGCCCCCAGATGGCATTCCAGCAGCAGAGGGTGATCAGGCTCCAGAACCACATGGACAGGTCCGGCACCACAGCTCAGCTCCACGGATACAGGCTTCTCTAATTAGTGTGTGAGAGGGGGAGAGAAAGAAAGAAAGAGCTGATGTTACAATATCGGATGAACAACAGACAGCATGAAAAAAAGAAACCCAAAAGAAAGCAAAAACGGTTTATAACAGTCAACTTCACCTTTTTATTGGATTCAAAGAGCAATTTTGGCAAATAAAAATGATTTAATTCAATATAAATTCTATTTAAGTAACAAGGATTTTATTTTAAAAATGTAGAATTCTTTAAACTCTTCCCCTAATGTATCTTAGGTAATAAAAAAATGTAAATAAAAAAAACCCCACTTCAGAAAGTAACCTGAAAGGAACTGCATTATCTGCATGATCATAAAGGCTACTTAGAATACAACACAAAGTACAGTACAAACATAAGTGACCTGATATGGGAGGGATATTTTGAAAATATATTCCTATATATTATTTACTAAAATATAACCACTTAATCCAAATGTCATAATATGAAGGTAAAATAATATGGCTGCTTTTAATTGCTTTTGTATTGCCACAATGCCACAAATCATTATAAGCGGTAAGCAGAGGGGTCTTTAAACTGAGGGGTCTTTATCTATCGATAAGCCCTTTTGAAAAAAATAATAAAAGCAAATCTGCATTAATTTAGTGTTCATCTCTCCTTCCTTACAACAACTTAGTTTGTACAAAATAGTTTGAGTGTTATGTCTACATGGAATTTTTCCTTGCCATTGTTGCCCAAGGCAACATTCTTTGTGAAACTGCTTTAGAATGAAATTTATTGTGAAAAGTGCTATAAAAAATACAAATGTAGGAAATATACTAATTGAAAGTGTTCAGTGTATGGCAATAGTTAAGTGTAGTTTAATTTAAATCTTAGAATAGAATAGAATAGAATAGATTAGTTTTGAACTGGCTGAATGGCCTCTAAAGCTTGAAATTAGTTGGATTAGAGCTCACCAACACCCACAGCTACTCTGTGATGGAGCTGAATAGAGTATAAAGTGTTTATACTTGGTGGTGAGATGCAGGTCGGTGAACTGAACTGAAATGAAAATGTTCTCTCTGGGTGTAGAAATGCATAACATTACTCTAACAATAGGTAAAAAAAGAATCATGAACTTAAAGGGTTAGTTCACCCGAAAATGAAAATTCTGTCATTAATTACTCAGCCTCATGTCGTTCCAAACCCATAAGACCTTTGTTCATCTTCAGAACACAAATTAAGATATTTTTGATGAAATCCATGAGCTTTCTGACCCTCCATAGACAGCAAGGATACTACCACGATCAAGGCACAGAAACATAGTAATGACATCGGTAAAATAGTCCATGTGACATCAGGGGTTCAACCGTAATTTTACGAAGCTATGAGAATACTTTTTGTGTGCAAAGAAAACAATAATAACATAATTTATTAAGCAATTCTTCTCCCCGAGTACCCCAGAATGTAATCAGTGTTGTTTACGTTCAGCAGAAAGCGTGCATGCTGAACATAAACAACGCTGATTACGTTGATAACGTTCTGGGGTACTCTCCAAAATGGCAGAAGATGGTAACTCGGGGAGAAGAATTGTTGAATAAATTATGTTATTATTGTTCTCTTTGGGGACAAAAAGTATTCTCGTAACTTTGTAAAAATACGGTTTTACCCCTGAGTCCTGTCACTTCCTGTCTGTGGCACCCAGACCCTCAGGGACTGTTCCTCAGTATCCCAGACTGGCATCCAGCGTGGAGGACCCACCATTGGTGGCTGCACGCACAGCTGGTATCCCCAAACCCACTCACTCTAGCCCTCCTGTTCCTGAACCTACTCCCCTGTCTGTAGCGCTTCCCATAATGGGGATCGCTTTATGGAGTGTATGGGCTGCATACACCACCACTGAGACTCTTGAAACAGCGGCGCCTACTATGATGTTTCCAGAGGTGGCGCCTGATGCTGCAGAACCTCCCAAGGTAGTGGAGTTCGCTGCTGTTTCCTCAGAGGTGATGGCGCCCGCTGCAGCTTCTCCAGAGGTGGCAGCGGCCAGCAAGGCACTCTCAGCCGGTCATGTCATAGTCGAAGGAACCGTTAATGAACTCTCCCTATTTCCTGATGGTACTGGTGTAGAACCTCCAGAGGTGGCAGCATCCACTAGAGAACCTCCAGAGGTGTCAGTAGTATCCGTCTGCGAATCCTCGTCCTGTCCTGTCACGGCTATGGAGGCCATCTGTGAACTCTTTGCCTGTCCTGTCACGGCTATGGAGGCCGTCTGCAAATTCTCGTCCTGTCCTGTCACGGCTATGGAGGCCATCTGCAAATTCTCGTCCTGTCCTGTCACGGCTATGGAGGCCGTTTGTGAACTCTTTGCCTGTCCTGTCATGGCTATGGAGGCCGTCTGCGAATCCTCGTCCTGTCGTGTCACGGCTATGGAGGCCATTTATGAACTTTTATCCTGCTCTGAACTGGCCGAGGAGGCCATCTCTGAACTCTCATCCTGTTCTGAACCAGCCATGGGGGTTGATTGTGAACTGTCTGTCACAGCCCAAAAACCTGCCTTTGAACCCTTAACCCTGCCTGTCACTAGCCCAGAGACCATTAATGCACCCCATGACTTTCCCGTCAACTCTGTCACTGCCATAGAGACCATCCAAGAACTACCAGCCAGTCCAGTTTCCCTCTGTGTCTCTGTCAAGGAATCTAAATCTGAGCTGTCTGTCTGTCTAAATGCTTCTGTTGAGTCTGTTGTTAAACCTTCCGTCCATTCAGATTCAGTCAATGAGCCTGCTAATGAACTTTTTGTGTTCCCTGCTTTGGCCCTTGAGGCCATACATGCTCTGTCTGTCTCATGTGTCTCATGTGTCTCTACTCCAGCCTGGTGGTCTTCTGTCCCGCTCTGGAGGCCTTCTGCTCTGTCTGTTCTGCTCTGGTGGTCTTCTGCTCCGCCGTGGGGATCTTCGGTCCCGTCTGCTCTGCTGTGGTGGTCCTCAGCTCCACCTGTACTGCCGACTCCACACTGGCTCCCTGCTCCGCCAGTCCTGCCTCAGTCTCTGGTCTCTCCACTTCCACGTGAGCTTGGCCCTCCATCCCTCCCCCGTTCCGCCTCCGCTCCACCGTCCTCCTGGATCGTATAGTGTTTGGAGTGTCTGGAAGCCGCTCCTTGGGGGGGGGGCTCTGCCACAAATCTGGTCCGTGGACTTCTATCCGATCGCCACCAGAGGTCACTCGTCCAATCACATAGACCAATCACACACACTACATAACACCCACTCAGTTCCTGCTCCGATTGCCGAGTATTGTTCTGCGTTTAGCACTCCCTAAGTTTTAGCTGTTTTACGGAGCCATTCCGTGTTTCTGTTTAGTCTCTAGTTTTGTTTAGCGTTTATCTCTCCGCTAGCGATAGCTACATTACTGGTAAACACCATTTACTTTACACTCAAAGTAACCTGCAGAACAGAGTTATCCACGTTGTCAAGTCATGTCAAGCGTGAGGCAATAATTTTATAACGACTATGCTAATCAGCCAGCCATGACACTATTTCAGCACTCTGTACACTTACACACACACACACACACACACACACACACACACACACACACAGAGTAAGACAACACGTTGAGCACACATTAGTCCTCTACATTTTCGTGCTGCAGTAAGCTCCCAATTAATTCTCCCAATTAATTACGCTAATGGGAAATGGAATTATTTCCTAGATTAAAGTGGAAGCTGACCCTCCAGCATCCCTGGATGTGTGTGTGTGTGTGTGTGAGAGAGAG